TATCAATAAATTGAGGCAGGATCTTGCTACAGACTCAAAAATCAAAAGCTAGCCACACCTAGAAGACACTTCTGAGAAGCAGTCATTTCCTAAGGGTTCTATATGGGCAATAAAGCCATTCACTACAAGCAATTTACAAGCATCAACCCAGGAACTTAAAAAAAAGAAAGAAAATGAGAAGACAAATAAGAGAAACAAGCCCAGACTTTCAACTCACCAAAGGAAATCCCAAGGAGCAATAAGGTGGAAAAACCTTGAAGCCACACAACTGGACTGTGAAATCTTAACAGTGGAAGTAACAAAGTAAATGAATGAGGCCCTAGAAAAAAGTCAAAGCAGAAATAATTTCTCAGATAACTGCAGACAATAATGGAAGACATGCTTAGTGACTCTGGAACAGATACAGATTTAAAAAAAGAGAGAGGAGCTCAAGAAAATGATAGAAACCATAAATACCCAACATAGGAAAGAAGTGGAATCCAAAAAAATAAGCAGATATCCAGGAGATTAAAAGTTACACCAAAAGAATACACAGTGAATGAACCAATGTGAGGACAGAATATCAGATATAGAAGATAAGATTGCAGTTAGCAATCATGAAAAGAAAGATTTCTGAAAAATAGCAAGGGACCATGAGAAATCAATCCAGCAGCTGCTAGATGATGCAAAGAAGAATAGCATAAGGTTAAACAGTCAAAGAAAAAGCAGGTGATAGTTCACATGACATTAAAAAAACTTGTTCTCAGAAGTAATGGCAGAAAACTTCCCAAACAGGGAAAAAGAATTTGACATACAGGAAAGTGAGGCATATAGCACTCCAATCATCCATGATTAAAAAAAAAACAACAACAACAACACAAAAACTTCAAGGCATACAACAGCCACAATTCAAGAAATTCAACCCAAATAGAGAATGTTGAAAGCTACCAGAGAAACAAAAAGAAACAAAACACCTATAAAGGAAAGCCTTTCAGAATCAAACCAGACTTCTGAAAGCAAACACTCAAATCAAGGAGACGTTGAAGTTTTTCAAGTCCTAAAAGAAAACAACCTCCAACCCGGACTGATGCACTCTACAAAATTATCTTTCAAAACTGATGGAGAAATAAGATACTTCCATGACAAAGAGAACCTGAGGCAATTCATGAACACCAAAGCAGCATGCAAAAGTGGTCTGAAGGATATTCTACAAAGAGATAATAAGTATTACAACCTCATGAACCCCAACAGAATGAATCCACGAGACAAGGCAAGAAATTAAACAGAGGAAGGAAGAAGGAAGCCAAGAGGAGAAAAATAGCATGACAGGGATAAATCAATATATATCAGTTATAATCATCAATCGCAATTCACAAATCAAAAGAAACAAGACAGGCAGAATGGATCAAGAAGCAAGATCCAACAATATGCTACATACAAGAAACATTTAATTAAAGAAGAAATTCATAGACTAAAAATGAAAGGATGAAAAATAATATTCCATGTGACAGGAATATGAAAAAAAGCAGACATGTTGTAGACAAAATGGATTTCAAGACAAGCCTGATTGAGAGACAAAGAAGGTCACTATATCCATGTAAAGGGAACAAGAGGAAGCGATAACAATCATAAATATATATGCACCACATAGTACACCCAGCAATATAAAACAAGTATTAACAGACATGGAAAAATCAAATAAGCACTAATACAATTGTAATGGAGACCACAATACTCACTGTCACAAATAGAACAATTAGACAAAAAAATCAATAATGAAGTATTAGAACTGAACCAAGCTTTTGAACAAATAGATGTCTATAGAGTATTCCAACATCAGAATATACATTCTTTTCAGCTGCATACAGGATGTTCTCCAAAACAGATCACATATTAGCTCATTGAACATGCTTATGTAAATGCAAAGGAACTGAAATTATCTCACATATATTATCTGTCCATAGTGCAATGAAAGTGGAAATCAATAGCAAAAGAAACCACAAAAACTTCATAAACACATGGAAACTAAATAATATACTTCTGAACAATCAATGGTCACATATGAAATTTAAAAAGATATTAGACAATTTATATATCTATTACACACACACACATATATATATATAAATATATAAAACTACACATAACTATCTGTAACTATATAACCATGTATCTATAAATGATAACACCAATACAACACATTGGAACTGACGGGGCACAATTAAAGCAGTTATATGAGGGAAATTTATACTGGTGAATACTCCTATCAGGAAAACAGAAAGAGCTCAAACAAAAACTTAATGCTGAACCTCAAGCTTCTAGGAAAAGAGCAAGTCAAGCCCAAAGCTTGCATGTGGAAGGAAATTATAAAGATGAGAGCAGAAATTAATGCAGTGGAGACTAAGGAAACAATCAATACAATGAACAGATGAATCAAAAGAGTTGGTTCTTTGAAAAATTAAATACAACTGAAAAACTCTTAGCCAACCTTGTTAAAAAAAAAAAAAAAGGAAAGAAAAGACTCACACCCAGGCAAATATGAATGAGAAGGGAGAAATCACAACAGATCCTGCAGAGGTCCAGAAGATCATCAATAGCTACTTTAAGTACCTGTAATCAAATAAGATGCAAAACACAAAAGAAATGACAGATTCCTAGATATATAAGAATTACCAAAACTGAAACAAGAAGATCTAAAAATTCTAAATAAACCAGTATCAGTCTATGAAATTGAAGAAATATTTAAAAACCTATCAACAGAGCTGGGGATTTAGCTCAGTCGTTCTGCCACCTGCCTCGTAAATCCAAGGACCAGAGTTCAATCCCTGGTACCCCCCCAAAAAAAACAACTACCAACAAAGAAAAGCCCAGGCCCTGGGCAACTCACTGCTGAATTCTATAAGAAATTTAGAGAAAAGACTTAATGCTGCTACTCTTCAAACTCTTTAATGAAATTAAAAGGGAAGCAATACTCCCAAATTATTGGTTCCAGGAGGCCCAGGGAATACCAAAAATGATGAGTACCAAACAGGTTTTTTTTTTTTTAAACAAAACATTTATTGGTACATATTAGATATACATTATGGTAATGTTCATTATATGGAATTTCTACCTGTATATGATATATTTTCTGTTTTCCCATTCCCCCTGCCTTCGACCCTTCTTCCCCTCCTTATATACAAAGGTTTGCTTCCATTTCTACCTTCTATTTTTTTTCTTCTCCCTTCTTTCCTTCCCCCGCTTGTTCCCCTTTCTCATTTGAGCTTTTCCTCACATTTCTCAATATCTATTATACATTCTTTATTTCCACTTTTTGTTTCTCACACCAAACAATATGGTATTTAAATATGTGTATTCAATTTATTTCATTGCTCATTTTTTTTGGTACCAGGGATCAAACTCAGGACCTTGCACTTGCTACGCAGGAAGCAGGGACTACTGAGCTAAATCCCCAGCCCTCCGGTTTATTTCACTTAAGAGTATAGTCTCAAGGTCCAAGCACTCAACTATAAATGTCTCCAGCCTACTCTTCTCATGACGAAGTAATACTCTGTTGTGTAAAAAAACCCACATCTTTCTTTTATCAATTTGTTGTTTGATGGGCATTTCGACTGTCTCCAAATTTAAGCTATTACAAATTGTGCCACTATAAGCATGGGTGTGCATATACTGCTATGGTATAATGCTTCTAATTCTTTCAGGAAGATACCAAGAAGGGGAATAGCTGGGTCAAATGGGACTTCTTTTTGAGGAATTTCCACACTGATTTCCAGTGGCTGCACACCAATCTACACTCCCAGAAACAGTGGAGAAGGGTTTCTTTTTGCCCACAGCCTCACCAGCAATTGTTATCGGTTGATTTCTTGATATCAGCCATTCTATCTTGAGCTAGATGGAATCTCAGCATTGTTTTAATTTGCATCTCTCAAATGACCAATGATATTGAATATTTTTTCATATATTTATTTGCCATTTCTACTTCATTTTAGAAGGGTCTGTTCATTTCATGTGCCCATTTTGGACTGGGTCTTTAAATTTGGGGGCGGGAATAATTTATTTTTTTTAGTTCTTTATATATTCTAGAGGTCCTGTGCCTGAGGAACAGCTGGCAAAATTTTTCACATTCTGTGGGTTGTCTCTTCACTCTGGTGGTTTCTGTTGCTGTGCAGAAGCTTTTTAATAAGATGAGATCCCAGGTTTGATTATTTGTGATAGTTCTTGTGCAATCAGGGTTTTGTTAATGAAATCTTTTGGTGAAGTTTCTGGGGTCTTGTATATACAGTATCGTGTCATCTGCAAATAATGATAATTTAACTTATTCCTTTCCTATCCTTTTATTTCTTTCTCTTGTCTAACTGCTCTGGCTAATGTTTCCAGAACTATACTGCAGAAGAGTGGTGACAGTAGACATCACTGTCTTGTTCCTGATTTTAAAGTGAAAGGTTTCAGTTTTTGTCTATTAAATATGACATTGGCTGATGGTTTGCCATAGATGGCTTTTAGCAAATTGATGTTTTGGTACCAGGGATCCAACTCGGGACCTTGCACTTGCAAGACAGGCAGCAGAACCACTGAGCTAAATCACTGGCCCACTTTTAGCAAACTGAGATAAAGACCATCTATACCAATTTACTTAACTGAACCAATAATACTAAACCAAGGTATCAGTGTAATTTATTTTCGATAAAGATGCTATGAATACACAATAGGGAATGAATGGACAGTCTGTTCAGTAAGTAGTGCTGGAAAAACTAAAGATCAACATACAGAAAAAGCAACAATCTTCAATTATACCATATACAAAAATGAGATCTACTGTACAGCATGGTGACTACAGTTAACAGGAATTCATATTTCAAGGCCGCTAAGAGTAAACTTCAAATGCTTTACCACAAAAAACAAGTAATAGATGTGTTAATCAGCTTTATCTATACCACAGAACAAAACACTGCGTGGCAACCCATAAATACATATAATTATGATTTGCCAATTAACAATAAATAAATCAAAATTTAACTTACCTTCTGCATCCTCCAGCATATCTACTTTAAGTGCCTTTGTGCCATCAAAGCAAAATGCTTTGATAGAATTCAGTCCTAACAATAAAGCATTCTGCTTTATTTTTTCTACTTTGTTGGCTATTTTATCCAGTGCTATTACTTCTCCCTAAAGAAAATAAAATTTTAAAAACAAAGCATAAATCCAAAGCAATCATGAAAATACAAAATTAGCTTGTGAAACATCATGCTCTTTCCCCACTTTCTTACCACTCCTACTTCTAAAGCTATACTCCTTAACCAAATACATATCAAATTTACACCAAACACTGAAGCCTTTCCTTTAAAAAAACTATTCTTGTCCGATAATTAATCTTCATATTGCTAGCTATTTTTAAAGAAGAGGAAGCAAAACTTCAAAAAACGTTTGCAACCTACTCAAACTTAAACATCTACTGAAAGCAAATAAAAATCACCTATTTGATGATAGCAGTATATGCATGAACTAATGCTAGGAGACATCTGACCTACACAAAGGAATGCTATTTGTAAAAACAGCCCTTTTAAGATTTTTAATTGTCCCCAGAAAATTCCTGTGAATTCTAAACTACATTCTCAACTAAAGCCAGAAAAACAGGAGCCAAAAACCTCGGCATATCACAGCAAAATGTTCTGGAATAGTATTAAAAAAAAGAGTTTAAAAATCGCTATATATGGTAACACGTCAGTGAAGTCAGTCAATAAAGACAAGAGACCATAACTTTAGCACATGCAGTTGACATTCATGCTATTCTGAACATACAATATATTATGAAATGAGACGAGAGTGATTCTTTGCATTTTTCTTCTGTTCCATGATTGTGTACATAGGCATCATCCTCATCCTCATCCAATATGTGTACCAAATTTGCTGCTACACGAGAGAAGTTTATAGCACAGACTACCACACAGAGTAGGTGTCGGTAATGTCCCCAGACTGTGGCAGACACTGACAGGGTGCAGCCTTGTTGCTTGCTTGGCCATCAGGAGGATAGCAAACGTGATAGGAGCAGAGCGCTCAGCACCCTTCCCTCTCTGCCATCACCAGTCCCCAACTACTGCCCTCTCCTTCGCTGCCTCTCTGGTCCTAGCAGACAAGATGGAAAGAAAGGCAGGGTATCACAGCTGTCTCAGCTGAAGTCACTTTAGAAAAGCGAAAACCAGGCACGTCCAAGGGAATGAGCCAACCCAGAATCGCCACAACTGCTTATGCTGCAGGGCCGAGGGGCACAGGCCAGCCCAGCGGGCAGCAGCTGGGCCTCACAGACCCCTGAGCCCAGCCGGCACTTATGTGTATGCTGCCAGGTCTGTTTTTCACACTGCATTATAAAGCCAACTGACTGGAAAGATTTCTTACTAGAAAGAATAAAATCACTTTAAGGAAAGAGAATTAGTTGACTCTGAGGAAACAGAATAAATATACCACAAATTAGAGAGGGATTAGTATCACTTTCTCAAAGCATATCACAATCTTTACATTTAAACTTCCATATAGACTGAAAAAGATCTGTATTAAACACAACTCCATAAAATGAACCTTTGCACCTGATGTTTTAATTTCATGCACTAGTGGCATTCAAAGCAATTTTCCTTCAAGAGTTTTTCCTGCTACTACTTATATTCTTGAGGTATATTTCTTACCACTTAATACCAAGAGTACTGATTCCTCAAAATTTTAAAAAAATACCTTTTCTATTGGAGAGATTTCTTAAAACTATGGCTACTTGCTGTGGTTGATTTAGGGCTCCTGGAAATGCCACGTGTGTTTGTGAACATACACAGCACATGGATACATAGTGAGTGGTGTGCAATGCAAGGACAGTGCTCTTGGGACTGCACTGTATATAGTGGAAATATGAATCTTTACATATATTTGTATTTTTATCCCCTTTGTTTGTGACACTGAATGTTTCAAAATTCCAACCGAGTTAAGGTAATGTACTCAATTGTAATGAGAATTTCCATCAGAAGTCTTTGGATAAGAAACGTACTAATAAAAGAGAAACCTATAATTTCACCTTAGAGTTTCTACTTTTTTCAACGCTCTATTACTTGTAAATCCCTTGAAATTCTTAAGAATCATCAAATGTGGATTAAAATGAATCTGGCACTTTGGGGATGAGAGTACCTTCCATCAAGTAAATCGCGAGAGCAAAAGGCCTTTCCCTAGTCTTATGGAGGTATGTTTTCTATGTCAAAGTCTTGCCCTAGTTAAGTTATATTTTCTTATCTACAGCTTAGTACCACCAAGATAACCTGTGCTTTTCCTAGGTTCCTAAGACTTCCTGCCCCTGTATAAATGCAAGTTAACTTAGAAAAGCGGTAACTGTTCCCCTGCCTCTGCATTTTAACGTCCCTGCTGCACTCTTTGCCCATCTTAGATTCGGTCACACTTCACAACCGCCGCCTGTGTACATTCAATTCTCATGTTCCTCTCATTGCAAATACGCATGAGGAGACCACAGTTAAATAAATACATTGTTCATCAAGTTCCCATCTACCCTCATACAGACAAAAAAAAAAAAAAAAAAAAAAA